GTAGCACTACACGCGTTAATTGAACGCGTATTGATGGTTGCTATCTTCGACACGCCAAATAGCCGTGATTAATTCTATTTCGCGCCATGGTCGCCCGACACAACCGCCTACAAAACGTTCAATTACATTCTCTTGTTGAGCTCGAAGAAGAATTGCAGAGGAGGGAGCAGCACTCCCAATCTGCATCCCAGCATCCCATTCTTCGCGTGGTCGTAGTGCAATGTTGGTACATAGATACGCAGCCGACTCGTTTGCAGGTTTGGGTGTTATTGATGCCTAAAAAAACACGCTGGGCATTGTTATTAATTGTGCAGAAGAACATATTGTAACATCCCACCATTTATTCCACAGACATTTCAAATACTAAAAAAAATTATACCGGTTAATATATTTAATGCAATACCGGTATATTTTGAAGAAATATGCTGGGACTCAATGCATTCACAATTGCGTGTTTATGCCGTAGTGTGCCCGGCGGGCAAATGCGATTGCCAGGCTCCCGTACATCGGAGCCGCGCGGATTTTCGCCCGTGTCAAGATTTGCGCAACGGACAACATCTGCGACGTGGCGCTGTGACATCCAGCTTCCTGTTGATCACGTAGCAGGCATCTTTGCGAGCATATGATTAGCAGTTTCACACGCGGCTGGAATCGAGGCGCAACGGTCCGTGGTCAAGACGCAGGCCACGACGACGCCGGATTGGAGAGCGCGCGTGGGCGTTCGAATGCATTCTTTATTACTGATTGGCTGCGTGCACTTAAGCGAACGGAAGACGTGGAGAACGCGTGTACCATGTGAACTTCAAACGCTCAAGAACTCAGCTATTTTAACTATGCGCCGTAGTTTTATATATAAAATAAATATTGAAAGACGCAGAGCAAATTTGTACGAACACCAGCGATGATTTGATTAAAAAATCGAAGAGTTATGTCGAAATTAGTTCGATGTTATGTATTGCTTTCAAGAGTGTACAACTGATTCTCTAATATCGAACACTTTTATTCATACTTTGGTTGCATGCATACCAAAACCCGAGAATTGATGTGACACTTTGAAGTTTCCAAAACTCGCGCCCGATGCGAAAATGATTTATCGCCGTGCGGCGTGTACTCGGCGTGTTATTTATGCGACAAAACAATTTTTTGCGAGCGTCCGCAACACATTGAACATAGATTCTTACTGGCTTACACACACCTTACATAAGAATGACGCCGAAAGTTTTTAGCGACATGTTTTTGACTCTCGACAAAAGTTTCATCGTCAGCTAGTGCAGCAGCAGTCGGAAGGTTTGGACGCCCGTGAAAGCGCTGCCGATACTTTTTGCGACACTTTTGTCAAAGCTGCCTGCAGGCCAGCAGGATGGGAGCTCAACGGCGTGGTTTGATTTATTGTCGAGAACAAGCACCCAAGGCGGTTGACCCCGTAGTGGATGAACAAAAAATCGCCATGGTGGAAAAGGTCAATATTTGAGAATTCGTCGAAAATGTGTGATATACAAAACTTTCTGATCATCGATATTGTTTTTGTGGTGACTCGATAGGTGGTCCACCCTTAATCATGAGCAAACGACCCTTTCTCGTACTTTCATCTCATCAACCAGCTTCACACTTCCCCAACCAGTCCGATTGTTAGAAGTGAAATTGACAAACGAAACCGAACGCGTCGACAGCAAGGGACGAAATTCATGTACCTCGAATTGGGAAATAAATTAGACGATGCGGGCGATTAAATATAGAAAACAAGGTGGATCCGCGTCGCGCCAAGGCGAACGAGGTAAAAATTGTGTGTAATTAAATAACGAACGCCAGCGATCCGATAAAGTAAAATAAACACTAAAAGGTGAGGTAAACGTCGGGTCCGTATTTTCACACGATTAAATACCGTCGATCCGTAACGGATAAGATCGCACCACGGAACACCCACGCGTTTTATCGTCCCTTTGGATAAATACATTTTTCCTCCATGCCCCGCGGTGGTGCAAAATTTTCAATGCTTTTGTTGGGCTGCTTTTTATTGCGTGTCACCGAGACAAGAAACAAAGTGATAAATGAATGTGAAGCGGCTCCGAACGTCCTTTAATATAAACTTGACAAGCTAAAACATTCGACAAAACGAAACAAAACAGCGTCTGTGGAGGCAGTTAAATACGGAGCAGTCAACTTAAAATCTTTATAAATTAAGTTGGATTAGTTGGAAATTTTTTTAAAGTTATTAATCATTGGGCTGTCAATTTGAAACTGGTGTTATTGATTGTTGAGGCTGTTAAGGCATGAAAAATTATGAAATAATTTCATATAAATGACTACTAAGAAGAAGAATTAAATGGTTGAAATACAATCAAGCATCAAATCATCGATAAAAAGTCAATTTAAACAGTTTTATTCAAGAAATAAACGTAATAATCTTCCTGAGATAAAAATATGCAATATTCTGCAACTGGTAATACTTACATAACCTAACATAACCTAAAACATAGCCTATTATTCAATCAAAAAGCCCAAACGTCTAAAATTCTCCAATTCATGAAATATCAGGCTTTGATCTGCCTTTGCTGCATGTACCAGATGTCAATGAGTGAGTTAAAGCCCCGCTTTGAATGTGACCATGCATTTGTATCTTTCACTTGCGGTGACAAGTCTCAGCGTGGTCCATTCGCCCAGCCACACGTAATTTGTATCCTATCCCCATGCCCCACATCAACAGCTGTAAATATTACTATGTGCCTATTTATTTATACGCAGCCGTCCTTCTATCCCGCGTCCTAAGTGACTAATGGTGTCGGAAACGACATTAATTAATTCACCACGCCGCCGCCGATAATGGAGATAACGGCAAGCGCGCCAACCCTTGTTATCCTCTTTCGCGCCGGGGCGATCGGAGCGCGCGGCCCGAACCGATGTGACTCAATCTAAACATCCCGACTTTAATTATGTTAACTAAAGCGAATATCTTAATAACGCCACCGCGGCGCATTTACGTCGCGTTCGGTGAATATTATGTCGGGGCACCGACGTGCACCGTTCTCAAGGGGCTTACACCTTTAAAATTTTATCACGCAGAGCGCAGACAACGCACTGGAATTCGCCCAGTTTATGTCGATTGAGATAAAAAATAACGACAACAGGAGAAAAATAAGACCCAAAAGAATTCCGGTTGTGGAAAGAGGCCAGAGAAGAACCTAGAAGTGTCTCGTCTAATTTGGGTCGGGTACTGTGTCCGGGTGGTTGGTTTCATCAGCCTTGCCTTTCTTTAATCTGGGACACAACTTCTTAATGGTTTTATTAAATTAAGCTCAGCGCTTAAGTCTTTATGCTACAATTTTTATACGTTGCTTTCTTCATAAATTGATTTCTTTATAACCCTCTTAAAGTTTTTTTGCTAAAAAAATTATTTTACGCACTTTAGTTGTACCTATATTAATATAAAACTTTTATAATTACCAATAAAGAGTGATTCATGGCATTAAATTAAAATCAAATATAGATGATATAACCAATTTACTCGTACGTGTATTTGAATAAACCATATAATTAATACGTCACAATAACTTTTCACAAAAGCTTGGTCTATGGCCATTTAAATGATAATACTTGCAGTTTGTTGGCGTTGTGATTTTAATTGGAAATTTATCACTATTCCATCCGATCGCACATTGAGACTATAAAAATCGTCCGCCAGGAATCAAATTTCCCATGGTGCATGCGGCGACAACCCGCAATAGATGCAATTTTGTGTATCACTAGGCATTGTATAAACACTACCCATAATTACAATGTCGGTGAATTGATCATTTATGATTAATGCATTCCTGATTTTTGCAATATTTTTCCATGCCTGTTTTTGTAAAAATATTTACGTAGCGCGGGTAAACTCATTGAACTAGTTGTTAATTTACCCAACGGACGCACGATTAGAGTGATTTTTATTTGCTGCAATAAACCAGTCATGGATAAAAATAAATTCTGTGTTGGTTTGTTGCGCTGTGCAACTGTTAATTAAAAAAAGTTAAAAATTTGATTTTATTGCTAAGTAAACTCTAGTAGGTGTTATTCTTTGAATTGTTTTACAATAAAATTTGCATGTAATATATCGCCAAACAAAGTTGACATCATTTTTCTTAGCGTATACTAAATGTGACATTCATATTATTGAAAAATATAAAATAATTGTCAATCATAAGATTTTTTTTTATTGATACACTCCGTATATGCAAACGAATAATTGTTTTGTATGCAAAAAGCATGTTTGTTGAAATGGTGGGCAACGTCGTTGAGTTGTCCGAGTCGAAGTCAGAGTCCGAGTTCTCCTCTGCAACACGCTTGTTCAAACTAGGCTCAGCGTGATAGAGAAATCCAAAGAGATGTTAGTGTTAAGCGCGTTTTGCTCAAGAGCGGTACGGTGCGCGCAGGTCTCTTCTGAAATGCCGCAACACTTTTTCTTCTTTGAACAAGCACGCGCGACCATCTGACAGAATTATCCCAGCCACAATCGTGACTCTAGTGTATTAATTTGTTTGACTAAAATAAACAAGTAGCTGTAGTGGACAGCAAAATGTGCCACAAACTAATTTCCAACCGGACTTTTGTGACCTACGCATTGTGTTTGTTTTTGTTTCTAATTTCAAATCCTGTGCAGAGTAAACAGGACTTTCTCGAGGACATTTTCGGCAATGTTTCAAATACTCGAGTGATAGGAAACGATAAGAGTTACCTGCGTAGGAGGCATGCGATTCTCTATGCGCCGTACTGTAAGTATGACACCGACATAATCGACGACGATAAATTGCTGGCCGAAGAAGTGCGGAAAGCCGATTACGTTTTCTCGGGCCGAGTCAGCAGCGAAATTCGGCGCGCCGACGATAATCGCACGCTGCTGTTCAGCATCACGGTGAAAAGGCACTTCAGACATCCGGGCGCGCTCGAGGGGCGGAATGTGGTGCGCGTCGAGAAAATACTACGCAAAGACGAAGGTGTGAAGTGTCGACAAGTTGTTCGCTATCGATATACGGCCATCTTCGTCGGGCGGAAACCGGAAGAAAGTGACGTTCATCAACTCACAGATGTACAACTGACCATCAGTCCAGTACCAATCACATTGGACAATTTGGATCGAATCAACGATGCAACTAAAGGTAAATAAAAAAAAACAATAAATTTAATTTATTACATAAATCCAATGTTTCTATTAAATTTCTTTTATGATACAAATTTCGTTTTGAGTTTATTTAAACTTATAAAACAGTAGTAAAATAAAATAATTTAATACTCGCTATAAAAGTGGTTTTGACTTGGTCTACGCATAAATCGTAAAACTAAAAATATTACGCCTTTCAATTAAAATCTCTTGGCGCTGTGTCTTTAGATTAACCTCGCGCGCGCAATAAAAATAAGTGAACATTTCCCGAATGATGAAAATCACGATTTCATTATCCCATAAGTTTCACGTCTATCAGCTCGCCCGCGCAACTTGATCTCTCGCGGGACCAATAATACAGTTGTTAATTGAAGAAATTGAATTGCGGCCAGAAAATTCGAATAATTTATCGTCTCTTGCATGGTTTTTAATGCTCGACCTAAAACTAACTAAAACTAAAATTATCTGGCGCATCCGGGTAACGACACATAGGTCTTAAATTACCTTCTACTTGTTGACATGCACATTTACATCAAAATTAATTCTTAAAGTCCATTTTGTTTATAAGAATTATTTTTACAATGTGGGAATTTTGCAGTCAAGCGAAAAGTTTAAAAGTTTCCTGGCTGTTTCTTTTCTTTTTTCTTTTTTCTTTTCTTTCTGGGATAACGCTGCTGCTTCATTTTTAATTCAGACTTTGCGAGCAAGGGAGCGACGTTGATATAAAAGTGTGCAGCGCAGAAACTCAAGTTCGCCATGTCGTCATGGCAGAACAAATATTTGTCTTCGGATCGGTGGTGCAGGTAGACGCGAGTATTACCCGTGTGCACGGGCGGGCTGAGATTTAATCTTCACTGACATCTATCCATGCATTATCTGCATACTCAACGGAGACAAACATTCCCGTGCGCCGATACGAGTATATGTGCAAAGCTGATGAAGCCCAAGCGGCAGGCGGCGAAGCGTTGAACAAATTAAGTGCTGATTAATGAAGTAAAAATTGAAAATTTACATTTTACGATCACACCAATCCCAAATGCTTTTTTATTACATTTTGGTGGAAAAACTGAATAACGAGTGTATAACAAGTCTATGCCAGATATAAGAAATACTTAAAAATTGTATTTTGTTGGTGTAGTTGTTACATATTGCAATTTCAAAGGTTTTTATAAAATCTCTACTTTATGCGCAATAAAACGTCAAAAGTGACTCGCTGTATGTCATTGCTATATATTTATATATTGAAAATCATGCAACAGTCAGATTCTTCTGTATGCAATGCGAAAATGTACAAGTGTCGCAGAATAATAAAATATTTTTATTGCTTATTTGGTTGCAACGCTTCGTCGCTTTCAACAATTTTTAACCTCTTTTTATAAATATTTACTATGTTACTGCATACGTTACAGTTTTACAAATTAACATTTATGCGTGTTATTGATGTTATTTATTGATAACGTATGTTGACCAGGTTTATTTTTGATGTCGTATTAACGAGGTTGCAGCAATAATATAAATGCAAATAATTTGAAATATTTTCGGACGGTTTTCAATTTTAGCACATCTATATTGTATAATTCTGTTTTAATAATCCCATTATATTTTATATTCAATAATTTAGGGCTTTACAAAAAACAATAAAAAATCAAAATATTTCAACTTTTTTGTTCATTAAATGCCTTCAATATTGATATGCACGCTACGAGCATGTAATTATCATATTTTGTCTACATTTGTCGGAGATTTGAAGGTTGGAGCCAAAAAGGATGTCTGCATGTTTAATACCGACGCGTTTTACCCCGGGGTGACTTTTCAAACGCATAAATTCAAGTAATACGCTGCCATAAAACTAAAACCCAGTAATTACACGCACACAATTAATTACCAATTAGCGCTGTGTATTTTGAGTTTAATATAGAATAATAAGTGGCCGCACGTATGAACGGACCATCGAGGGCCATAACTTATTGTGGTGGGCACCCGTGGCGAACGAAGCAGGTTACTAGTTCAGTTTTGTTTCTACTCGTGTGACTAAATACAATTCGTATGGAATGGAAGTGTTTTATACTGCATGTACCTACAAAACACAAAATAAAGCATTTATGGTGAAAATTTTGCTGTTTCTCAAATTACTCAAAGTATTTCCTAACAAAACATAAAATTTTAGCTCAAATTACACTGAAAATTTTAATTTTACCTAGAAAAGCAGTAAAAACTATTCTCCAACAACCTTTGTTGTTATATTGCCGTATTCCTGAAACTTTATTGTTGTTTTTATTATAAAACTGGATAATTAATCCTCTGTGAATACTGAAACATCAGTAAATTGTGCGAATGATATGCAAACACTTGCGTTGTGCTTGTGCGTGATAATAAGGCTTACTTTTATTACACATGCAATCGTTCGATTTTATCGGATCGAATGTGAGACATACGCAATTAAATTTCTTCGATTTATACTCATTAAACGCGCATACAAGTGGTAAAGAACATAAAACATACATAAAATTCTCGACTACTCAGTATTAATGTGCGTATTCATATATTAATAAAATTGACAAGGTGATAAGCTTTTTAAATTCATTATTGTGTCGTACCAATACTAAAAATTAAAAATTAATTTGATTAATAAAGCAAAACACGCGTAAATGAATGTAGATTTATTAATTAATTATTGCTTTTCGAATGCATCGAAATACATCGTTAAAATGCGCAAATTAATATAAAACTAGAGTGTATTAGCGTGAAACGTTTTTACACGCTGAATAAATGAAGCGGGGAATGAATAAAATAAAACGCAGCCGGCCGAATCACGTGTCTGGCGCTTTCGCATTCCGGCAATCGCACGGAACGCGTGTACTTCGCATTCGGCAAAAAATTATTTATCGTAAACGATCGTTTATTCCAACTGGCAGCGCGAGCGCATTTATGAAGCCTTGCGAAGTGCGGAGCAAGTGGCCGGGCCCGAACTTCATTATTCATGGACGACTTCGCAGCTCGAGGAGAGAGAGCGGGCGCGCACTGTGCGCGCATTAATGATATTCGTTGCGCCCACGCGGCAGCGCCGATGTCCGAAGTCGAAGACCGAATCTGAATGCGTGTGTGCGGCCCGAGCGGCCAGCCGGTGCGCGCTACCAGTGCTAGTGTGCATTTAGTTGAAATTGTGCAATCAAGAAAAAAGCTCTAAGCTGGAATTAAATTTGAGCGCGTCGAGGAGGCGCTCCGAAGACAGGAACGACTAAGCTGATTTCGATTGATTTGTTGGGCGATGAGCAGTTGGCTTTTAATGCGGCTGGCATTTGTAAAACATAAAATTTTATTTATTTCGGTTTTTAATGATTTTTTCACTTTTTTACGGAATTGTATAGTTGAGTTTATAGGGTAGCGGTAAAAGTGACTTCCAGGCAGAATTCAGGGCACCGTACGAGGGTAGCGGTAGAGGTGACTCGTGTTCAGAGCACCGTAGAAGGTGGCGGTAAAAGTGACTCGTGTTCAGGGCACCGTACGAGGGTGCCGGTAGAAGTAACTCGTATTCTTGATACCATATGAGGCTAGCGGTATAAGTGACTCCCATTCAGGGCACCGTAGCAGGGCAGCGGTAGAAGTTAATTCCTATTGCTTAGTTTTGATTTAAATTTTATTTTGAATTTTTAATTTTTTTTACATTTTTTTTCTGATCCTCAAATAAATTTGCAAATAGAATATTCTACTTGCACAATCCATTTAATAAACACACAAGAAATGTCGATAATAAGCAACATCGCGTTCACAAACACTAAACTTCAGTAAACAGTAAACAGTAAACACATACTCGCCATACACTTTAGATGCCAAATGCAAAGTGATAAACTATAATGAATATTATAAATGGTGTCTGCATCTCTTTTGTTCCCGGCATGTGGCATTCCAATCGACGATGGCAGATCGACTCGCGTAACTACGAAAATGGAAACTGCCATTACACATCCTTATTACCCCCGGCATTTGCAACGTATGCGAGCGTGGCGTAATGATAGGAAAGAGTTACTTAAAGTTAACGATGTGCTACGTGAGACGTGTGCCACTGCTTGCTTTTCGACGAAATATAAAGTCGCTAAAATTGAGTGGAAACGAAATGGTGCTCGATTATCTGAAATCCAATTTGCGCCGAGGCGTGCAACCTGCAAGTGCGATATTCGTTCGGGAATATCTCCTCAACAGAATTAAATTGAGTGTCGATAGATATTAGGAGGAATTCCATTGATATCTTCTATAATTTCTTAAAAATAATTTCAAAATTAAAAATTTTATTTTTTTCAAATTTAAAACATAATTTATAAACCTACACAATTTGACACTTGACAATCAGAGTCCCATGTCTCCTACAATATGAATTTAATTAGCAATGCACTGCCCCACATGCCACTCCAAAGGTAGGCACAATAAGACATAGATTATCAAGTGGGCCGATGCGTTTTTATCAGCTTTGTTTGTTATACATGTTCCAGTTTAGATTTATTCCGCATCTACATCGGATTCGTGCGTCGTCGCTCGAATTATGATGACAACGGAATGATGCATATGGTATGTACGTGGGCGACAATCGGACTTTATTCACACCTTCTGTCTGTTGGCTGTCCCACGACGGGCTTTTGTCGTGCGTGCGGTATTCGGAGACGGACAGAAGGCGGTCGTCGTCGCGCATCGTAGGGTATTAAATATTGCGCATAAATCTGTTCGTGAACACAACAACAATAAAAAAAGATATTGAAATGAAACGCGGCAATGTTTACGATGCATGGATTTTTAAATTTTTAGTAAAAAAATTTTTTTTTTAAATTTTTAAGTTTAAAAATAAAAATTTTGAGATGCAAGGTTAAATATTATGATATTTATGTATATTGCGTTTTATATTTAACTGTGCGACAGTTATTTGAGCCATTTTCCGAAAAGAAATAAATATCAAGTTTTATTATTTATATTTGACATCGCGAATTGTGTACGGTACACCGAAGCATG